CCGATTCAGCCAACCGGCCTCATTACCTCGGGACCGCTGTCGACCAGCTCGAACCGGAGGTCTGGTCAGCTGGACGTGCCGTCCGCTCCCAGCACATTCAACAAGGCTACCTACGGCTCGGCTGTTACGAGCCTGGGTGAGGAGGTGAAACTAGGGTTAAGGGTTTCGAGGGTGGCAATGTGGGTGTTTTTGGTGGTGGTGGTGATGGGGGTAGTGGTGGGTGCGTTTCTCATGGCGGCGGTGAAGAAGCCAGTGGTCTTGGTGGCGGTTGTAGCGGTGTTAGTCCCTGCTGTAGTGATTCTGATATGGAACTACGCGTATAAAAAACGAGGCATTCGGGGTTTCTTGAAAAATTATCCTGATGCTGAGCTGAGGGGCGCCATTGACGGGCAGTTCGTCAAGGTCACGGGGGTAATTACATTTACAACTCCTACAAGCTTGTGTTTTCCAGTTTTTGTTTTAAACAATGCCTACTGTTTAAATATTATTTAGTGATTTGGTATACTTTTAAGCATTTAATTACTCAGTTTGGGATTCATTGTGTTTCGGTGGGTGGGATCGTGGTTAGGCTGCATGCTATTTATGGTAGTTGGAGCTCCTTTTCTTTTCGTTTCTTTTTATTTTTCCTTTTGTTTTTTATTTTTTCTTTCGGGGACCATTTGACTTGTATTATTCGGTAGCATATCTTGAGGATAACTGTTTTTCTTGATATATACTTGTGGTTCTGGAAGAATACTGGGCAAATTCTTTATTAGATGAATTTCTAAGGTTACTTGTGATTTAGCACAGCATAACCACAATTCATTGTAACTGACAGATAAGTGATACTTATAATTTCTCATAGATTATCCCTTAGGCCCTGCCAACTTGTGATTTAAAAATCATGATCCGTACGAACTAGAAACTTGTGTGGAACTTGCTTGGAGCAGATCATTTTAGACTAGCTGTTTGAACTCCTGGGCATTGTAATCTACTAATTTTAGATTTTAATATGGTGACAAACAGGAGTTTCTGAATTTAGTAAGCCACTAATATTTATTCATACTCAGCAATTTGGTTTTGGCACACTTAGGACTTTGAACATCCTACTTCTTTTGCACTTGATAAGAAAAGATTTTTCTTTTGGACCATTGTTGCTTCACAATAAACTATTGACCAACTTTAAACTGTATGGGTTGTAGTTGCCCCTAGGCTATACTTTGGCTATATTGTTGGCCATAAGAGAACTGCAGTGTCAGCAGCAAAAGTGGGGATGACACTGTGCTGCATAATGGCCAGCTGAAAAAATGGAAAATAGCTGTGGGCAAGTTGCTCCAGTTAATTGGTTCCTTTCATTCATTTTTTGGATCTTTGCCAAGATTAAACATTTTATAATGGTATTTGGCAACTTCTGTGCATTTTCTGCATCTACACACTTCCTCGTAAGAAACCTCTTTTTTAGTCTTTCTCTAGTGTTTCATTTTGGAGGTGCTATTTTCTACACGATTGGTAATGTTTTGTCATTTTTTCCTTTTCCAATTTACGCATATTAAGTTGCTGGTAAGGTTGAGAAAAAATAGGAAAAGCATAAAAGATGGTAACTACTATTCATCTCAAATTATTATACTTATCATTTGATGCATTGTTTGTACAGGTTGTCACTTGTGGCAGCATACCGCTTGAAACTTCTTTCCAGAGAATACCAAGATGTGTGTATGTTTCCTCAGAATTATATGAATACAGGGGCTGTGGTGGAAAACCATCAAATGCTAAACAAAGATTCTTCTCTTGGGGGTGCAGATATTCAGAGGTCAGTTTGTTTTGCTTAATGTGTAACCATTGAGTTAAATAGTAGCTTCACGTGACTGTAAACCGTTAATTGCATTTGAACAAAAGAAAAACAGAGAAGCAAAATTAACTAACAATTGGATACAATTAACATTTTTTATACAGCAACCTTACGGCTATTTTTTGAATTTTATATATCTTCACTGATTTCCTTTTAGTGGGTTTTTTGGGGATGTTATGCTATTATTGCTGTGACTGCATTTTATGTCTTAAGTTAAATTTCCCTTGCAGAATTTTAAACGCTAATGTGAGATCCGAACACAATTCTATTTCTTGAAACCTGCTAACATAGGTGATCACCATGTATATCTCCAATGCATTTTCAGAATATGAAATTCCCCTATAATGAATGAAACAAAATGCTTAAAATTTTGCTGTGAAAGGAATTAAATTTCATTTCCTACGTGCAAGAATTAAGTGAAAATAAATATATAATCAGCTTTAAAACTAATCATCATCTGTATGTTTGAAGAGCTCAGAAATATTTGATGATGGTACAGGACACTAGAAAAAAATTGTTTCTTTTCATAGCAGTCAATATGCCACTAGTTTAATGGTTGGTCCAGTTTATCCTCATTGCATCTTAATTGGATAAGGTCCCAACTTATCATACTACTACTACATGCACATGTTCCTGTTTGTGCCTTTCGAATAGATATAGCTAAAGAACTTTGTCGATTTCAATTCTAATAATTTTCCGGGTCACAAGATATCATTTTCAAAATGAAACTAATCTAAGTCATTAGCTAGCTGTTCCGTTTTAGTAATTCTTTGAGTCTCTTTCCTTGCATCTACAGAAGTATGCTGCAGATTTTTACATATCAGACTTTCAGTCTGGTTTGAGAGCTCTAGTGAAGGCGGGCTATGGTGCCAAGGTTGCCCCATTTGTCGAGTCAACTGTTGTTGTTGATGTCTCAAAGGATCACAAAAACCCTTCTCCAAACTTTCTACGCTGGCTTTCTGATCGAGGCTTGTCGGGTGATGACCATGTGATGAGGCTTAAAGAAGGGTGAGAGTACCATGCTTAATGTGGAAATCATATTTTTCATTTTCTGGTATAAAACTAGACATAGCTTGAGAAATTATGCAAATTTTCCAGTTTTCAACTTGGACACTAAATATTTCTGGAATTTCAGTTTCTCTGTCAAGATTCAAACCCTGCCTAATATCATGATCTTCGTTTTTTTAAAGAAAATAATGACCCGTGTAATATTTGTGTTGCAGCTATATAAAAGAAGGAAGTACTGTGAGTGTAATGGGTGTGGTTAGACGGCATGATAATGTACTCATGATCGTGCCACCCACTGAGCCCGTCTCAACTGGATGCCGTTTGCCCTGTTGCCTTCTCCCTACATATGTGGAAGGTCTTATTTTGACGTGCGATGAAAGTCAAAATGAAGAAGTTATTCCGGTATAAATTGGAATGAGACTGTTTTTTGTGTGGTAGGTTTGCAAGTCACGTAAATAGTGGTAATCTACAAGGCGGGTATTTTNGTTTAGATTTATGAAAAAAAAAAAAAAAAAAAAAAAAAAAGAAGAAGAATCCGGCATGTCCAGTGTATTCTTTTACTGAGTGAAGAACAAGAGTTCTTGTAAAAAAGAACAAGAGGTCTTGTAAAAAGAACATCCATGTGCTTTGGTAATGTACACAATATAGAGATGATTTAGGTGGGGAAATGTCCTCCGGCAACTGGGGGCAGTGCTGCCATTTTATCCTATTTATCTCTGGCGTTGTATAGAACTTATCAAGGTTGCTCTTCCTATCATCTCTGCATATATTGTATCTTGTCTTTCTTTGGCTCGACCAATATCAAATGTAAATTTTTTATATTGATCAGCTTTTTGTTTAATAATGTTTTGGTTGTTTAAGTCTTAAATCTTGATATTAGATTCCTTATTATGGTAAGTTCTATCAGTACTTGACCTGCAACCAAAAACTTGCCTCACCTTCAGCATTTTATCATGAATCTAATGTTGGATTTTGTTGCTCCAGTTAAACTTTCAGGCACTGAGAAGATTCGAAAAAAAAAGTGGATAAGATTTTCAGCATTTGTTTCTTGAGCTGTTTGTCTACTGTGTATGGTTTGATTATCTTCACAATCCTTCATCAGTTATGCATTTGGCTTTGAAGAATAGAATAGACATGTCTCGAGTAGTGTTTTCTTAAATCTATAAACTCCTGTAAGTTTGATTGCAAAGAGATGGCGCCAGCCGTTCAGCATTCAAGCACATTCACTTCAACATGACACAACAATATCGATCTGAAAATAGGATTCGCGCATTTGAAGTATTGTACTGTATTAGTGTCACCTAATTGGACGCTAAATTATAAATTAACGGCAACTTAGTCAAAGACGAATATTCAAGTGAAAAATAAATATACAAACGAGGTGGTGGTAATGGTATGGCGAAGATGACGATTTTACTACCCTTCAGTTTCATAATATAATCAAGATCTTGAATATGAGTATTTCTATGGCTATTTATTTGTAGATGAACAACAGTTATAAAGATGTTCTCTTCAAACTATTTTCACTAACCTACACTTTAACAGCCATCGTCAGATGGTTGTTTGTAAAATCATCTCTGCTAAATCATATTTTCCTGTTGTGAGTAGACTGACGAATATACCCCTTGCTAAAATTCATGGTGGTGGCTACATGAATGTCAGAGACGTCAAATATTACCTACTACCCCTTGACTTAGAAGGTGCATGGCTGCTGCTCGAGAAAATTTCCTCGCAAATAGAAAACAACGAACGAGCGTGGAATTATTACTGCACCATTCGATTCTGAGTTCTGCTTCATAGTTTACGTGGTTTATTTTCTGCAGTTTCATAACCAGAAGTTACAAAGCAGCCAAAGTAACAAACCGAAACCAAATAAACGAATAATTTCATAAACACCCACTGTGGATAATTATAAGAGCAGTGCCATATGTACATAATTTTATGTAAGTACTAAGCAGTGCTGTGCTGTACTGTACATACACCTAAACGTAGCAAAATCCAAATCATAAATATCCCCTTGAAATGTAAACACACCCTTGAGACTTGTATTTGCTCAATAAATAAACCCCATACTGAGGGTGCAGTGTGTAAAATAGAACAAATATTAAGGTGGTACTCATGATTTTGAAAGATTAATTAGGTGTATGTGTAATTATGCAGAACCTCATGGGAGGATTTTGCAGTTAGCCTTAAAGTATAATAAAAGAAAGCAGATCACCAGTCATGCAACAGTAGAGCAAGTGAAGTAAATCATCTACCTTTATTCTTTTTATCTGTTCGGGCCCTGAATTTGCATAGCTAAATTTAAAAGGATGCCAAGCCACATTATCTGTGGGTGTCCTGGATTTGTTCCATAAAGTGTATGTAACTGTTCTTCTTTCAAGCTCAGCCTCAAGGCCATTCATCTAAAAACAACCACCAAAAAAACATAAGAACGGAACAAAGCAGACCACATAATTAGCTATTTTATTCAAAAGAATTATAGAAAAATTGTGTAGGAGAATTCAATGATATTATATATATAATAGATATAATATATATGTATATAGTCTTACTGCAAGTAAGGTCTGCACATAATGTTCATCGGGTATACAGTTATGCTGTTTCTGAAGTTTCTGCACCCAACTCGTACTATTAGCCAATATTACTCCAAAAATAGAAACTGAAAGAGCAGCATTCATGAAAAATGGGAGTACTACATAATTGGAAATAATCAGCTCAATAATTAGGAAATGGTATTCAGAATTTCCGAGCTGGCAGAAGAGGTATCTTACAAGATTATTTGGATCAAGTGCTGGACGCCTCTGCAGAAACAGAACATCATAAGTTGCAGCCTTATAAAATGGATCAAATAACCATCAAAATAATATCTGCTAGGTGGATTTACAATTTTTTTTTTTTTAAAAAAAAAAACTTTGGTAAAAGTTATGTACCTTGCAGAACTTTCTGAAGATTGGAAAAACAATTTCATCATCTACAACTACCTCCGCGTGTCTTCTGATTAAGGTGACCCACTGGAATAGTAAAATGATGTAAATCATTATTACATTAAAATATGTTCAAAGATTAAGTACAAATTAGGTTACTGTAAACAACATCATAACCACCAAAAGAAAAATCAAGATATCAATAATATTACCTGTGATCCTTTCCGCCATTTGTTCCTGGGAATAATTGGTGACATCCTGGGATTGTAGCGAGCACCTTTCTTATCTAGAAAGCTGGGAAAACAAAATATTCACAATCTATCATTTTGTAGAAATAATGCTTCAAAATGCTTATAGGCTATCTACTAAAAAAGCTGCCAACATAAATGAAAGAGCAATTTGGCACATTCAGAACTTTCTGATTACCTACCTGTCCACAAAACTTCTTGGAGAATCCATCAGATACTTGTAAATATAACTGAAGTTGTATAAAGGGACACAGCTGTTGAGATGAAAAATAGTGTAAGAAAACTATCAATGATCAAAGGGGAAACTTGGGGGACTTAGAATATAAAGAAGTAAACTTAAATGAACTGAACACATGGCTGCTGTTAATTAGGGGTGCAGATATTCAGGAAATAAATTCTGACCATATGTTTTTAGAAAAAAAGGCTCCACAGCATCCATATGATGCTAATTTTAATTTATCCATGTCTACATTTAGATTCTTCAGCACAAGTAGTTAACAAATTTTCTAATTTGTAATATCACATATCACTAGATGACCCACAACAGAAAACATCAGTAAACAGGATAAAAACCATTCGATTTACTCATCATGTTTTTTCCGGCTTTAAGGAAGAAAACCTGTCAGATAAGAGAACAAATCTTTGATTTGCAGGATCCTGAAGGGCTTCTTCAAATAGTAACCTCTCAGCTCCAATCATGCTTGCTTGTCCCCAATCTACCTACACATCACCTCAATATTAAGAATTAATCTAAAATCATCAGCACTAAAGCCTACCCCGACTTGCTTGGGACTAAAGGCTATGTTGTTGTTGTTGTAATCTAAAATCATCAGCACTAAATAATCAAAATTCAGCTCACATTCTGAAAGTAATTAAAGAGAGATGCAATATTTCTCCCCTTATTGACAAACATGAAACTGAAAGAAACTAAACTAATATAATTTATCAAGATTTCTCTTCAAATATGATTATCATTTGCCAAATTAATCAATAATATTCAGGAATATGTTTGAAGACTTCCTCTTTCAAGTTCAATCCGCACATCCATCAAATTCATAACCAACCAACGGACGTGATGGAATTAGTAATTACCTTAATGCTGTTTCTCAGTTGTCGATTGAAAAATAAAGCATAGCTCGTAATAGATTCATCAAACACAATCCCGGGCTCAGCATGTATATATATCGAATATTTGGACCTGTCCACATTCTGCAACAAGCAAACAGAAATAACTCAAACATGAAACTAAATTAAACGTACAAGCCACAGAGAAAATTTATCAATTCAGCATAAAAGGAAAAGTGAATGAAAATGAACATGCTTCANAAAAAAAAAAAAAAAATCTCAAAGTGCTCGTGTAGAACAAAATTTCTTCTAAAGTATTCTAATCAAAGACTGATAATACAAGCAAACTGGAAAATAGCAACTCTCAATTCAATTTCCTCGTCAAACCTGGGCAATAAAAAATTGAACCCACCTGGAAAAAGCTCTCCCAAATGAAATCGAGGGGCAAACTCCTCCGCACCATAAACAAGAACGCTATCTTAGGATCGCCTCTAAACTGCGAGCTCAGAACGCGGGTTCGTCTCGCCAGGTGGGTTGGGGAATAAGAAGATTCCGGCGACTGAGAATACAGCTGGGTTCTGATAAACGACAGCACACAGAGAGCGACGGACGAAAAAACCACCAGCTTCCACCCAAGGCGCAATACGTGGTGCACCAACAGCTTCGAAGATGCTTGTGCCTTCTTCCCCATCGCCACACACACAGCCAAACTACCAAAATTTTTTATATATTTATTTTTATGATTATAATTATTCCCTCCTCTTCTTCCTCTTCTTGTAATTCAGCATTTATTACTGAAGAGGAAAGTAATAAGCGAGTGTGAGATACTGAGATTTATAAGAGGTGAATTTTAGAGGAAAAGAGGGAGAGAGAAAGAGGAGCGCAATTGGAAGAGGGAGCTAATTGAGCAATTTATGACTCAAATAGCAGAAAAGGACAAAAGAAATATACATTTCTTAATCAGACATGTTTATATTGTGTAAGCTATAGACCTAGTTGTTAACGGTTATTAAGAGGACACATTTTAATTTGATAAAATTTGTTACTTTTCAATTAGGATCTGTAAAAAAAATAATTTTTATAATATAAATATCAAATAAAAATATATTATATTAAAAAAAATAAATATTTTGAAAATTCATTCATGAAAAAGAGGATCATTTCATGGGTATTAAAAATGATTGAATTACATGATTCTATTACACAAAATAATAAGAATTTTTTTCTTTTATTTTTGTAGATAAGATTTTTTTTTTTTTTTTTCANTAAAAGTGTCTAGCGGCTGTATGAGTTATTCGATCGAGGATTCGAACCCCTCTCTTTCCGTTGCTTTGATTACTTGATTTATTTATTTTTGAAATTTTATATACAGTTATACGAGTGGAATATATAAAATTATTATAAAAATAAAAAATGAACCAAGAAAGCTTACTTATATATCATTCTTCACTTCTTGTATTATTTGTGGTTTTATTTGATTAACATGTTAATTAACATGTGGTTTTATTCTTTTTGTTTCGGTCTATTTTATAATTTTATTATTTGTACATGTTGATAATTGCACACAAGAAGATAGGTTTGGGTGATGCTTGTAGTTTATTAGTTCATTTATTTTATTAACATGTTGATTAACATGTTTTTTTCCTGTTTTGTTTTATTTTATTTTAACAGCATGTTGATAATTGCACACATGAATATAGGTTTGGGCGGTGTTCTGATTTATTTATGTATGGTGTGAGTGGACATAAAACCAATCCGGATTTGACCAATCAAATCCACTTCAAATTCACAAAACAATTTTTAATTAAAAATTATAAGTTAAAGTTCAGCTCAAATCTAATTTAATTATACTACTATACAGTTTACAAGTGGAAAGGCGATTAGGGTTGTTCTAAAAAAATCCCCATATTTTCTTTTCGAATCTGTCCGTTCATTCACATATTTATAACTAGCAATTAAATTTAATTATTTATTTCTTACTTTTACATCACATTAACTTTAATCATTACATTTTAAATCAACTCCAAACACAAACTCGAAATACAATCCAAACTCCACCAAGTTTCATTTTTTTTTTAAAAAAAAAAAATCAATTTTTCGAATAAATCCAAATTTCATCCAAAAAACTTATATCCTATAATACTCATTAGAGTGAGTAGGGCTATCTGGGCCATATATAGCCATATATGATAATCATGTAACAAATACTAAACTAAACTATGTAATTGAGAAATACAACGGTACCAAGTCATTTTCAATAACGTTACTTGTAAATCATTGTAATATAGGAAAGTATAGTTTTCTATTAAAGAAAAAGAAAATCACTCGCATTTTGCACATCAAGATAGAGTAGTTATGATAAAAGTTAAGTTTGTTTTTGNTATAGTAAAAATGAATCTTCTTTAGCAAAATTTTAATGTTTTTATTAAGTAAATACCAATCCCTATTATATATTAATATATATATATATATATATATATATAGATTTGAATAATTTATTGTTTCGAGGGGGTTTTTTCATTTTCCCCCTTTCTCGTATCAGTGCTGGCCCCAGCAATCTTGCAATTGAAATAGTAAAAAACACATCTATGTACAATGATTCAATTTTATTCTTAAGCTACATATTTATAGCATATAGCAATTAGTATCTATGGGAATCAACCCAAATTATAACATCTAAAAAAACAAAGTAAAATTCTCAGGAATTTCTGATATTAAGTGTGTGTTTGTATATAAAATAACTCAATTTCTACTCAATCTATATTCAAAATTTCGGGTGTGATTGTTTATATTTTCTACAGTAAATATCCCACTCAAAACTCAAATTTAACTCAACTTTAACTCAACTCCACTATCTCCAATATTATCAATATAATTAAATAATATCAAAAAATCATTATTACACATCACATCAACTTTAATTCACTATTCACACACTCATATAATTTTAACTAACCATCACTTCCAATCATTTTTCTCTTACTTTTACATCATATCAACTTTAATTATTTTATTTTAAATATCATTTTAATATATCCACTAACAACTAACCATACTAACTTTTTTTCAAAGTAACTATAGTTAAAAAAATTCAATTAATTTCTAGATGAATTGATAAACAATCACCCCCTAATAATTCAGCTCTAACTCAACCACATTCTCAATATTATCAATATAATTAAATAATAACAACCACTATTCATCCACTTTAACTATTTTATTTTAAATACTATTTTAATATAAATTCAAAATTCCACTAATCATACCACATATTTCAAAATTAACCATGTATCTAAATTAGTAACAAAGGAAAAAAGTAATATGAAAACAACAAAATATATGCACACATCAAAGATACAGTACAAAGCCCTCCTTCAGGCACATGGAAAAACTTCCATAGCAGGAAAACCTCGAATATTTCCAGCTATCGTTGACCGACATTAACTTGCTGCAGGTCGAGAATAATGTTCAGAATCTTACCAGGAACAAAAATTCGTTTCTTGATGGTTTTCCCCACCAAATATTTTGACAGTTTAGAATCCAATGAAGCTAGTGAAAATGCATCTTCTTCTGTGCAAGATTTCTCGACTTGGATGGTGCCCCTTGTCTTCCCGTTGATTTGTACCGGTAGAGTTATTGTCGACTCCTTCAAGTATGCAGGATTCACCTGTAATAATAAAGTAGACATTACCAAACAGAACCCAAGAGCCCTATGTGTGGCCCTCAATCCTTTCAACTTTACTTTTGGAATAATTACAGAATCGCCCCTATGGTTTAGCCTAGTTATGAAAGAGGTCCTGTGATCTCCTCACAATTACAAATCTGGCCACTGTTTGAAACTAGTAGCTGGTTTATGCCTTATGGTGAGTCACGAATAGTAAATTGACACGTGTCATGTGGTTATCACTTGTTAGTTACGTTTTTGGACATGTGGTCCTTGTTGATTAATAACATCTAGGCACATGTGTCAATACATCATTGGTTGCTCACACCAATTATGGCTTTGTGGAATATATGTGAGGAGAAATGTAAAACAGAAATGAAACTTGCACCAAAAGTAAAATCTATATATTAGGCTATGTTTGGTAGCCAAATAAGCTATAGCTTATAGCTTATTTGATTAGCTTTATAAGGTTCCTATATTTAGATAAGCCTCGTTTGGTAGGACGAGCTTATTTAAAAAGCTCGAGCTTATCTCATAAGCTTCTTTAGGTAGCTTTTCAAATAAGCTAGTTGAAATTTTCATAAGGTATAAGCTATAAAAATTACATATAAGCTATAAGCTAGCTTTTCAGCTAGCTTATCAGCTAGTTTTACCAAACATAGTCGTAATCCTGTTCATCGTCTCTCTCTCTCTCTCTCTCTCTCTCTCTCTCTCTCTCTCTCTTCATAGATAGATATATATATATATATATAATCATGGAAAATATTAGCCCAAAAAAGAGAGGTACCTTGGGAAATGGCTCGTAAGCCAGTGAACTGGAATGTCCCAGACGGGACCACAATTCCTCGGCCATGTGCGGTGCATAGGGTGAGAGCAACAGAACAAAATCTTCAATGATAGTCCTAGAAAGTTTGTCCCACTAAAACGACAAACTTAAAAATGTACTCAGAATCTTGGCCGAAATAAAAGTAGGACTGGATGATCATATATGACCAACTATAAAGTATGAGTTCTCGAGCACAAATTACTTGAAATGAGAACTAATTGGTCACATCTTTTAGAGCATTTTTAATGCTAACATGTCATTGTGAAAAATTAAGAGCCACATCATCAAAATTTAATGTTATCACTACTTTTTCACCTCCAATGTAGTAGAACAGTGTAGTGATTATGTGTACATAATTAATTCCCACAATGCACAGAATGATGTTTGTTCATCCACATTCTAACCAACCAATATAGAGTAGAGAGAAATATCCCATCACTAATTCCGAGCTTTTCAGTTCCTCAATTGATTTTCTTTCTTATTTATAAATATTTAATTTTGGTCAAGTGGATAACATTGTAATTTCTCTACATTGCGCATTGGAGAGAATTTTTGGATTTCGTAGATGTAAACTTCACATATATGCTAGTCCACAATCCATTTAATTAGGTGACATTTGGTACAATTATCCAATCACATCATTCGAGCATTGGAGATGTTCTTGAAACTTGAGAAAGAAACAGAGGAATTAACCTTATACGCCGCATTAATGAATTCCATCATTGCAGAAATCCCCGTGTTGAATCTTGTTCCTTCAATTTCCTCTGTAACCTGAAATGAAGGAAAGAATATCCATGGCCAAGCACATTTGCTACTTAGTTATATACGTATGTATGAACCGGGAAAAAGAAGCCTCATGTTCTACTGAAGTTAAGTAGTTACCTTATTAATGCATCTATGAAGAACCCGGAGCTGCTCCATAGAAGGTTCTGAATCGAGATCAACTGTTCCACCTCTGAAGTTACCATCATCAGATGGTGAACCAACTATTAACCTCCAAACTCTAGCTAGAAAGCGATGAACACCATCAATACCACTGGTACTCCATGTTTTTGTGTCCCTATAAGTATGCATAGGGGAAAAAAATTGTCTAAGAAAATAATAAGACAGATTTAACCTTAGTAAAACAAATTTATATTGAAAAATCTCTTGAAGAATGAAAACAATATGCTCATCAGAAAAAAAAAATAAAAAAAAATCACAGGGAATGGGATGGCTACCTGAATGGGCCCATAAACATTTCATATAAACGAAGAGAATCTGCACCATATTGTGAAACAACGTCGTCCGGATTAACGACGTTTCTCCTACTTTTGCTCATCTTATGAGCACGGGCAATCAGGCGTATACTGGGATTGTCTTTCAGCACAAAATAATCACCAGATTTTGTAACCTATATAAAAACATTATGTTATATGATTATAAAAAATATGACGCTGGAATCATTTATTTATTTATTTTTAAACTTGAAACAAGCAGTTAAAAATTAATAGGAAAAAGATAGCATTGATGGAGAGAGGTGTGCCTTCTCCTCGGGCACGCTTTCTTGTCTTAAGTTACTTATTTCCTCAGTATCAGCAGACACTAAATTCCCATCTGAGTTTCTGAAGGCCGTGTATTGTACCTATCACTCAAAGCAATTAAATATTTGCAGAGGAATTGAATTTGCACTATGAGTATCATGATACATAGTACTCACTTCTCCAAGAATAATTCCCTGGTTTATGACACATTGAAAAGGTTCCTTTGTAGAGACTATACCAACATCATAAAGAACCTGAAACAAATCTATAGTTAACGAGTGAGAAAGTACAAAGAATGAAGAAGTAAACATCAAGGTTTCAAAATTTTATCAATTACTCTACTAGAGTAGCTGAGTAGCTTTCATACTTATCAACACCCAGTACAAGCTCTTGCTTTTCTTTATCAAGAATAATCTAAGCGTCTCGTTTACCAAAAGATATTCCAAGATCACTTGCCTCTAGAAAAAATTCCATGAATAGAAATAACATATTTCCACGCGACAACTAGTAAGATTAATTCTGAACGGTATCCCCAGCACTTAAAACATGTAGGGGTTACAAACCTTGTGCCAGAATCTAGCATAAAGCAAGTGAAGAACTGCATGTTCAGCACCACCAACATACACATCAACAGGGCCCCAATACCTGAAAGATGGACCAACATATGGTATCAGTGGCAAGTATCATCCCAACACAAACAATAATTTTGACAAAAGTATACTAAAATCCAGCAAAGCAGTGGTTAAAACTCACATTTCCTTTTCACTGTCGACCAATGTCTTGGAATTTCTAGGATCCATGAACCTCAGATAGTACCTGACGTGTGCAAAATATAAATCTTTCAAATATCAAGTCGATGCACATCAAACATTCAAATGTCATTTTGTGAGTCACGGTTAGATGGATTTCGAATATATGATGCGCAACAAACATGTACAACATTGCACATTAAGGTTTTCCTGTCAAACCTAAGTAGAAAAATTAAGCCATGAACCAAGCCACTCTATTTATACTACTTGGAGACCAAAAAAAAGGCTATACCAGCAAGAGCCAGCCCATTGAGGCATAGTGTTTGTCTCACGAAGAGCAGATCTACCAGATGTCGAGTCGACAGTTTTGACCTGAAGAAGTTTATCCATCTATATAATTCATTTGGAACAAAAAATAACAGCAGCGCAAAGATATCCAGATACAACATGCAGATTGAAGTTTATGATATCTGATGCTTCACACTTAAGGGTGATGAAATTAAAGATAACTTAAAACAAGAAGGAAAAAACATGTCGATACAAAAAATTGATGTTCGTACGAAAATTACAAAGAAATGCTAAGGTTGGATGTAATCACTTTAGTCCCACCACCTATTTGTCGAAATATTAGAGCTTCTCCAACATACATTTAAAGACAGAATCATCTCCGCTTGTTTTAAATATATATGGAACTTCATATTTTGATTTCATTTTATATTCAATACTCCAACCTAAGCTTTGGTCCCACTCAACTGAATATAAAAATCTAACCGTTAACATGAAATCATATTAGCAACGCAAGATGACTTCTTGTAGCTTGGCTCACAAGAAACACATTAAGTAAATAAACATACCCAAGACGAAGCCTTAGCAAGCGGTGGCTCCCCTGTCCCAGTCGGAGTAAAATCATCCAACTCAGGAAGGGTCAGAGGCAGCTCATCTTCAGAAACTGGTAAGCATTCACCTGTGTCATTGATAAAAATTACAGGGATAGGCTCTCCCCAATAACGCTGCCGAGCAAATAGCCAGTCCCTCAATTTATAGTTCACCTACAAGTATATAAAATTGCAATAATTCAAAACGTCATCCAATATGGGAAAAGAAAAGGCCAGAATGAGTCAAGTAACTTTTCCAAGAAACGCAGGACAGGTGTACCTTTCTCATTCCATTTCCAGTTTTCTCAAGCCAATCAATGACTTTAGAACCAGCATCTTTGGTCGGTAGTCCATTTATGCTGAGCCCTGTTTCTGTACTAGATGAATTGATCATAGTACCTTCACCAGTGTAAGCCGTCTCTGAGTAATTGAAATTTCCATTTTCTGGAGCCACAACTCCACATATTAGGATTTTGTACTTCAAAGCAAACTCATGGTCACGAGTGTCGTGTGCAGGTACAGCCATTATTGCTCCTGTCCCATAACTATCACATCAATTTAAATAAAATCATGTCATCAATGACACTCGTAGAAGATAAATGAAAGAATAGTGGAGTATGAAGTGCCAATTTTGGGCTCACTTCTGTAAAAGTCCATTTCTTAAATGGACTTCACCAAAAGTCCACATCATTTACTTTCTAGAACGGAAATTTTGGAGAACCAACTTATTGATAAGTCAATTCTTAATTTAGCCCAAAACATGAATTAATTATTCAAATGGACTTTTGCATCCAAAAAGTTAATTTCAGAAGTGTTTCCAAACAAGCTAGAAATAATCAGCTCACCTTCCCAAAACATAGTCACCTATCCAAATTGGAATAGCTTTCCCATTGGATGGATTTCTTGCATAACAGCCACTAAAAACACCAGTCTTCTCTTTTTGGAGCTCAGTCCTTTCGAATTCACTTTTCCTAGAGGCAATTTCTTTGTATTCTTCTACCTGTAACCAATAATATTTGTTGGTGAAGCCAACTGGCATCAAATGTAACAAAAAATAAAAATAAGAAAGGGAAGGAAAGAACAATAGAGATAGGCATACATCTTTTCTTTGGCCATCAGACACAATGGTTGCCAATAGGACGTGTTCAGGTGCCAGGACTAAGTAACTAAAAAGCAAGACACATGTAATTAAAAAACAAGTTTTGCTGTAAAATAAAGTCAACAGAAGACATTAAAAAATAAACAATATAATACGTTGCACCAAAAATGGTATCGGGTCGTGTTGTGTAGACAGTAATTTTAATGTCCCTCTCAAGACCATTGGTATCCAAAATGCTGAATTGCAGCTCAGCTCCTGTTGATTTTCCTATCCAGTTCCTCTGCATTTCCTTAACACTTTCAGGCCAGTCGAGATCATCCAAATCTTCTAAAAGACGTTCAGCATATGCCGTAATCTTCAGCATCCATTGCCGCATAGGCTGCTCGTCAACAAACAATGAACTGAAAAATCATAAAACCATCCAACAAATGAAAATAAGGAAGGGTAGGTAGCAAAAGGTTGTGACTAGTGTAGAAAAATACAGAAAAAAATATTTATAACAAGCAGACCTTCCTAATTACTGGATGGCCCCCACGCTCACTCACACCATCTACTACTTCTTCATTTGCCAAGACAGTCCCAAGTGCAGGACACCAGTTGACAGGAACTTCAGCCTGTTGTTTCAATTCATATAGGGACTTTTTATATCCTGAAATAATGATCAAAATTATTTTGAAGAAAAGAATACCTGATATGCCAGTCCTCTCTTAAAAAGTTGCAGAAATATCCACTGCGTCCATTTATAATATTCAGGCTCAGTGGTAGAAATTTCCCGATCCCAGTCATATGAAAAGCCTAACAATTTAAGCTGAAGATAAATAATTGCATATGTTAGTATGCAAAGAATGTAAACCAATTAATGAAACGATTATATTATGAATTTGAAGCCTAAAAAATAAATAGCTAAAAACAACACTAATGCTGAATGTGAAATCAGGAGAATTCTATATGAACTGTTGCTTATGCGTGACAAAGTACAATAGATAAAAAATAACCTTCAAATAGAAAGAATTCTGTGAAAATATGTTGTGCAATTTCTTATACACGGACCTCATGTATTTATAATGCAGGAGAAAATCTACAATGAAGGAAAATAAAATAAAGTCACTGAATCTAGCTACTTATATGTCTTCTTACATATATCTTCCTAATTTACATTGAATAGATTTTCAGTAGAATCAAATCATAGCCCTAAGTATCTTCATCATTAGTAAATCATATATTTAACCACGCCCCCTCAAGCTCAAGCATACATTTCATATGAACCTAGCTAGCTTAGTACAAATGCAATCAACACGGACTCGCATAGATTTCAGAAACACATCATGCAATTGATCATTAGAGTTTACAAAGTCTGTGATGATTTCTCCGGAAAACACTTTCCCCCTCACAAGGCGGCAATCTATCTCTACGTGTTTAGTCCGTTCGTGTAAGACAGGATTAGATGCATTTTGATTATCGCAAATTTTAGTACCTAGAATATCCCCAAAAGTTAATTGTTGAATGAGTCGCGAGAGCCATGTGATTTCGCACGCAACGGCTACCATGGCTCTGTATTTAACTTCGCACTAGATCTAGCAACTATATTTCGCTTATTACTTCTCCATGAGATTAAGTTCCCCCGCCCCCCAATTAGGCTATGCTTGGTAAAACTAGCTGATAGCTTATTTGTAATTTTTTAGCTTATAGCTTGTAGCTTATGACTTATAGCTGAAAAGCTAGCTTATATGATAAAAGTGTTTGGTAAAATTAGCTGATAAGCTAGCTGAAATAAATAAATCAACTAGCTTATTTGAATAGCTACCTAAAGTAGCTTATGAGATAAGCTCGAGCTTTTTAAAAAAGCTCGCCCTACCAAACGAGGCTTATTTGAATACAGGGAGCTTATAAGCTAACCAAATAAGCTATAAGCTAGCTAATTTGGCTTACCAAACACAGCCTTAGAACACAATAGCCTGAAGTCGGCCTTCTATCCGATGGTAATCCTGCTCAATCAACTTTAGAATAGCAAATAATTTTGGCATCGTCTCTACCTTCGTATAGTAGTCCCTGATCTGGTGCATTCTAGACTCACATAACACATCCTAAGGTCTATCACAAATAGCATTTAGAAACTGACTAGCCACATTTACACAAATGTGATATCTAGCCTCGTAATAGTGAGATAACTAAGTTTACCAACAAGACGACGTTATTTTCCTGGGTCTTTTCTCGGCTCCACTTATCCGGAAAAAGCTTGATATTTGGATACATGGGAGTTTTAGTGGGACGACAACGCAAAAGGCTGATTGGGAAACCTCAACACCTAAAATGTATTTAAGACAACCAAGATCTTTGGTTTGGAATTGACTCCCGAAAAAAATTTCAGAGAATGTGAAATACAGACACTGAGAAGGGTTATAAGATAGCCAATAGGCTGTGCAAGCTTTTATTGTGCATAAATATAGCACAATCTTGAAACAAGTTTCATCCTTTAAAGTTTTCAAAACAAATTATGATCAGTAATCATAAATAGAAGAAAAAATATACCTGTGCACGAAATCTGTCTATGTTTTTCATTGTTGTGATCTTTGGATGAGTACCAGTCTGTCAATAAGTGATATTGTTAAGCAAAGAAAAATAACAATGCCAAACAAGATAATAAATCACAACCAGAAAAGTACCTCAATTGCATATTGTTCTGCAGGTAAACCAAACGCATCCCAACCCATTGGATGCAAAACATTGAAACCTTGCATTCGTTTAAGTCGAGCAAGGATATCTGTGGCAGTGTAACCAAGAGGATGCCCGACATGTAAACCAGCCCCACTGCAACAGTCAATTTGCGAATGAGACCACTGTTACGCAAGCCTTAACAAGTCATTGTCTTATATAATTCACGAAAGACTCTCGGCTTAGTTAATTTGGGGGAAAGTTAACAAATCAAATATGAGCATCAAGCAAAAAAAGTCATTCAATATATAAACTGATTTCAGTTCCTTCAGCAATGTTAAATCTATAGTTACTATTCAGCAGATAGAAATTCTTCATTGCATGCCGATGAGATTATGTAATTGCACACCCCTCAGTTTTTCGAATGGTCCACATTTTCTGTAATCCGAGAACAGCACATTCATGGTTAGGAGCATCTATATTGGTTCAAAACGTGGCAGGAATTACAATGGCACCGTTCGATTCTATTATAGTGTAAATTCACATGTTAATACATATGTAGTATAGTACACGTGTGACGTCCCAATGCACAATGAAACATGTGCCTGCCTCATGCTGAAAGCGCCATGGATGGCCTGCCACACTACAAAGTCCTTTATGCCATGCTTTGGGTATTTTCCAGACTGCCCAATGGAGTTGCCAGCAGGTGGTTTAATTTACTCCCCAAGTCCCATAAAATAGACCACATTTACTATTTTCAGTGTACCAGAAAGATAGGCATGGCACTTTAAATAGAGTATTTATAATGTTTAAATTCGACTATATACATTATTTAATTTATATGACCACCAACGAAATAAAATCATGGAATATAATAATAATAATAAATTTACAGGCTACAACTTTACTTTCTATTTTTTCAACTACAATGATAGCGTTTTCTTAAATTTTATGGACATAATCATATGCCTATCTTTGTTGGAGGG